GCAATATGCTGACTCTGTAAACCGCTTAGAGAGGGCTGAAAGCCCTATGAAGCGGTATATAAGTCTAACTGCTATTGCTACTGCTATTGCTATCTCATATAAAGAGGGCCAAGTACTGATTCCCTGGCTGATTAAACAAATACATATCAAACAGTGGTGGGTTCTGGGGCGGTAAGCCCCGGTACAGGCGTACCGATGGCTGCCGGGAGGAGAGGCCACAGTACCGGAACAGTGCTTTGGAGGCCCTGCTTGCCCACCCTCATCCCTCACCTGTGCACAGCATATCTTAAGAGTAATACCGCAAGAGTAAAACGGCAGGAAAACAGTTACAAAAACTAAAATACAAGAAGTATAGTAGCAGTTCAGTTTTAGAGGCTAAGGACTTTTTTTTTTAATCATTTGGTACACAAAGTATGGAAAGCAAAATTCAAATAGCAAATCCTTCAATATCACCTGAATGAACATGCTTTGGGGTCATCTAGTCCTAATCAACTGGGCATTTTTAATCTACTGGAAATGCAATTAACAAAAGGGCTGTGGGCTGTTGTCATTCCACCAGCTTGGAAGGAAGATCACTGCCCTGCTGTGAATCCTTGCCACATGACTCACCCCTTTCTGATCGAATTTCATAAGTGAAACTTAAATAAATAATAGATGCAGGAGCATCTGTGCGCTGGTAGAAACCAATTTCCAGATTACTCAGGGAAGCCTTTCTAGAAACTCCGCTTTCTGAAGAATCCCTACAGGGAAGAATTTCATGTGTTGTCCTAACCCATGGTTTGCTTAAGTAGTTTGTTCAATAAATCACAATTAGTTGGGATCATATATCATCTTAGTCCAGACTGCACTAAGCTAAAATCAAAGAAGCCACACATTTTCATGAATACATTAATCTCCTCCCACTTATGACTGTAACTCTGTTGCTTGTATCCTTACGATTTATATTGAATTTTTCCTAGTATGATTTGATTGCATATTTGTACCCTAAGACTATCATTAAGTGTTGTACCTTATGATTGGTGACGAATTTATCTTTTCCCTTATGTTCACTGAGGGTTTATGTCCACCAAAGACAAATTGCTTGTGTGTCCAATCACACTTGGCCAATAAAAAATTATATTCCTATTCTATTCTATTCTATTCTATTCTATTCTATTCTATTCTTACTCTCCTCTCTATTCTATTCCATTCCATTCCATTCTCTATTCTATTCCATTCCATTCC